TGATTATAATATACAGTATTTGTAAAGAAGGCCTGAAAGAATTTTGTCAATACAAACGTGATTTTTTTTCAACATCTATTTAACTTCAATGACTTAACATCTTGGAGAAAGAAGTGTTTGCTTGCACAACTCCTTCAAATAACATGAGTGCTCACAATGCACATTTTGAGACCTTCCAGAGGGTCTCCCATAAAACTAGGATTTTGAGATTTGAGGAAATAAAAAAGCAGACAAAACAAAATTTAAAAATAGAAACCCTTTCATGCCTTTTTAAAACATCATAAAGTAGCGAAAAAGGCACAAAACTAGTTCTTAAAAAATTGTTAGCAGGTCATCTTTAAGTGGTTCTATCTTGCATTACAGAAGATTAAATGAGTTGATCTGTTTGCAGTGTGTTTAAAATTTTCTTTATAAAAAAGTCACTGTCTCATGTGGGCACTAAAATTTTAATTATTTAAGTCATTAATATTTAGTAAAACATGTGAGCTTAATATAGGCTTCCTTTTCTCTTACCCTGTCCTGGAACTTTGAATGTGAGTCAAGTGCACCATCTAGTGTACAGTGCAAACAATTAATCCTTGACTTTTCCAAAAATATTTTCATAAAGCTGCAACATGCATTAGCCTTCGTTGGCCCTTCCAATACTAGACTTTCCTTCTTTTACTTAGAAAATCCAAGCAGTCTAATCTTAAACTCAATATTGGAAAAAATATTACATACTGGTGTAAGTCATTTACACAGTATGGCTCTCTAGTGGATGGACCACAGAGGTTTATTAATTTACTATTGGCTTCAAGTTAACATATGTGGAATTTTTAGCTGAGGCAGCAGAGCCTTGTATAAATCACAGGTCTTGGGTTATATACCCAACAGTGACCTATCCAGAAACGTCAAATTACACTGGTTTGCAGAATCATTATCCAAAAAATCCAGTGCTTTGTAATTAAATGTTTACTTTTTCTATACCTAATACTAAATTCTCAGATTACAGAGAGATCTGATTCATGCAGAACACCTAATGTTACCCCCAGCAGTAGAATACTTTGCATTTGTATAATGCCTTTCATTCACAATTCTCAAAACATGTTACTAACATTAATTAGTTAGCTAAGTGTACTATGGTGAGGCTTATGTATAATAGGTAGGTAAGTGCTATTATACCTAGATGTGTATATTGAGGCTAAAATTACACAGCAGAGAAGTGGAAGAGAGGGGACCGGAACCAAGAAGTGCTGACTCCTACATATGTGCAGTAGCGATTAAAAAACAGTGCCTCCCAGTTTCTGCTGAGTACAGTGACAATGAGACCAATAAAACCTTTAAAATAAAATATGAGCTTTCCTTGTATACCTCAAGATACAAATTTCCTTATTTTCTGATAGCTCTTTATAATTGGCTCACCGCACTTCATATCTAATGTAGGTAGATCATATAATACTACAGTTTTATCCTAGAACTGAAGAAGAGCTCTGTGAAAGTTCACAATAGAGTTAACAATTCTAAGGAAGGGTAGAAGGGAGTACAGCAAATTAGAGACAATGGATTTCAGGAAGGTGGATTTTGGTAAGCTCAGAGAGCTGATAGGTAAGGTCCCATGGGAATCAATACTGAGGGGAAAAACAACTGAGGAGAGTTGGCAGTATTTCAAAGGGACACTATTAAGGGACCAAAAGCAAGCTATTCCGCTGGGTAGGAAAGATAGAAAATGTGGCAAAAGACGAGCTTGGCTTAACCGCAAGATCTTGCATGATCTAAAAAGGAGTCATATAAAAAATGGAAACTAGGACAAATTACAAAGGATGAACACAGGCAAACAACACAGGAATGCAGGGGCAAGATTAGAAAAGCAAAGGCACAAAATGAGCTAGCTACAGGAATAAAGGGAAACAAGACTTCACAGTTTATGATGCAACAGACTCTAACCATGGAATCATTATCTACCTCTGAAAGAGGATGCATGTGGATGTGACACTAATGCCCAGCCCCAGCAAGAGGATGGGAGATAAGGGAGATTTTATTGTTTTAATCTCATTTAAATATTCACATATGAGTAGTCAAGTTTCAATTGGATTGAGAAGGGTGGGGCCTCCCACATGTGGATCTCTGCTGTTCCACTCAGAAAGGGGGTCATCACTTTCATGGCATCCTCTCCTCCTGCCCTTCTCACAAGAAGCCCATGGAGGGCTCTCATGGATGTGAGAACCACATTGAGGAACTGGGTGGTCCTGTGCTGAGTGAGTGCTGATCAAGGTGGGGACAGCTGAGACCAAGAAGAAAATATGATGCGTCCCCAGTACTTCTCTGTGGTAAGGAGCCCTCCATTATGGGGGATCATGGGGTTGGTCACCCCTAGAGAAAGTGCTAACTACATAACTACAATAAAGCTGCAAACCCAGAGGTGGAGCAGAGGCACGAGATGTGGGAATGGGCCCTGCAGCTCATTCTGCAGTGGGGCAAATACCCTCTGTCCTTTGACAGAATGATTTGTGAGGAACTCCATAAAAGAGTAACCTTGGAGAGTTTTCCTCCTCAACTTCTTCCCAGGGGATTCTGGCTCTGAATTACTGAAGCTGAAGAAGGTATTTGCTCCTTTAAAAGCCAGAGCTGCAACAGGTGCCCTGCAGACACGATATGCTCCAGTCAGAGCATTTATTGACTCTTGACAGACCCATTGGAAGAAATTATGGGAACAAACTATTGAAAAAAAGCCAACTACTGTATAATAACAAGCAATTTGATGGTATCCCATATAGATTATGTCCATCTGGGAGAGACACCACATTATATATTTATACATTGTTATATATATATATATTAAACTACACTTAGACAAACATTAATGTATTATGTTTGTACAGCATTTAGCAAGTTGTGGGTACTCCTGGAAACAAACAAATACCTGTGTATGCAATGAATAAAATTATCCTCTATGTTGGAGACCAACATGAGGTCTATGTACCACTTAAGCGCAGTTTGAATTGGTGGGTGGGTTGGGGGCTTTGGTCAGACTGGATCTGGGCCTCATTTAGTCTAAATCCACCAAGGAGCTTCCCTTTTGATCTTAGATATTTTTAACTTAATCGCTCATTCCTATTGGCAAAAGTACAAGGATCACATATAAGTGGCACAATGACATGGAATAGAGTATGCAAGAATGTCCTCAAGTGAGCACAATCCTTGCATGAAACCATGTGCAACCGATCATTGCATGCCCCTGCCAGGCATTTTCTCTGCAAGAACAGTCTATTAAAAAATCAAACTGGAAATAAAACATACTTTTAACCATCGGTATAGATTATCAAAGGACGTGGTACATGATTTATCACTTGGAGTCTTTAAATCAAGAGTTTCTGTCTTTCTCAAAGAAATGCTCTCATTCAACCAGAAGATGTTACACTAGATGCAGTAATCACTAGGTGAAATCTACAGCCTGTATAATGCAGGACAGACTAGATTATCATAACAGGCCCTTCTGGCCATAAAAATTTACAAAAAAGCACTATGAAATTAGGACAATACATCTCCACTAGATGGGGCACTGGAGTGGGAGTCAGGAGACCCTGGTTCTGTTCCTGGAGTTCTAACCACTGACTTGCTTTGCTACCTTGGACTAGTCTCTAACTCTAATCTGGGACCATAAAGGTAGATTAGTATATTTGGTTTGTTCATAATAGTTTCCTTATGGAATCACTACAGGACAGAGTTAAAATGTTTGGGTACTTTCACTGTGCATTTTCATTTCTAAACATGTGTGGATTATTTTTTAAAGTTTAACTTAACTCTGAATTTTCTGGGTTTCTAATTTGCTTATTTTTGGACAATATTCTTGTTCAATTTTTTCACCCTTAAATTACTGATATATACTCTCAACCTTAACTTCAGTTTAACATAATTTTTTGTCTGGAAATTTCCTTGTTTTCTTACTTTATTAATATTTTCATAAATGAACACTAAAAAAGAAACCCAAGGAAAATGCTATCATGTGACATCTTTAATGAGTTAAAGACCTGAGCATCAACCTTAGGTCCTCCCTGCCAATTTTAACTTTTACAGCCAAATTCACAGGTACAGTCCAGCTGCCTTGTGCCACTCCAGAGCTGGAGCACAAGTAAGCTGGAGCATACGGGCAAGTAAAGCCTGGTTTATACTTGCTTTTCTCTCCACCATTCTAGCACGAAGAACCAACCCTGATTTGCCTCACAGTTTCTAAGTGCATACGCTATTTATCAACCTTTGAATATACATAATTGTGAAAAATTTCCTTATGACTATATCGTAATCACATTGCAAGAACTTGAGAAAATGTGTACATCTTTTGGGGAGAGAGTTTCATTTAGGACTCCCTGAGTAATATGTAAGTAACATTTAAATGAATTGTTTTTAAACAGATCTGCTGTCTTGCCCCTTTCCTCACATTATCTTTAATGTCTATGATTTCATTGTAGATTAATATCTGCTTTGCTTATGTTCTCAGTTTCGTTTATTAATTATTGACATACATTCCTTGACATACTGATTAAACACCATCCTCGTTTTCCCCTTCTGCTTCAAACAAAATTCAGCAAAAGTCAAGTCTTTCAAAAGGGGAAATATCTTGCAGTACAGACTTTTGCTTTAAAATGACACATGCTTCCAATCCCGGATAAATGTTTTCGTGACTAATAATAGACATAATAGAGTACTATGTATAGTGAATGAACGGCAAGCAGCCCCGTGTGCCACGTATACAGAGCAGCCTGCCCAAGAAACAGACACACACAGGGGTTAGGCAAACGTTTTATTAAAATAATGCAGAAACTTATGGAACGATCTCAAAGTAAACATGCAAGCAATACTCCAGATCAGTTACACAAAATGCACAAATGAGAGCCTATGAACGTGCATGCATGCAAGTTAATGTACAATCTCTGGATCCCCACTCCCTTATGCAAGCATGCAAAGATGGGCTGGTTAGTTATAGTCTGCAATGAGAGCAGCTGCTAATCTCCCTGCAAACTTACCGAGCCTCTGTATTTCTCCAGAGAGACTAGCTTGCCCCTGATGTTTACCACTTTAAACGTATAAAAATCGTTCTCCTTCTGCTGCGAGGCGGCGAATGCTAAGAAAAGCAGCGCTGCTACAGCGAGGAGCATGGCTAGAGAGAGGAGAAAAACTCTGGAGAAGGAGGAGGAAGCCCTGTGCTCCACACTGCCCTCAGGATCTAGCATGCTGCAAGACAGCGGAGCAGAGTGCTGCATAGACCACTTTCACAAATCGCACAGCACTGCCGGAAAGAAAGAGCTGTTGCAAAAGGGTTTGCAACACTCGCGCTCTCAAGATTTGGTAGCGTCGCTGTTGCACACGGTGCCCGGCTCTGTGCTGGTCCTTTCAACTCAGCAGGCATTAGTAGAATGACCACATTTCCCAAAGAGAAAACGGACACTGGGTGAGGCTAGACCTCGCCTCCCTCTCCC